TAAGTATTTTATCTTCTTGGGGACTACTGTAAATGGTATTGATTTGGTGACTTCCTCTTCGAAGTTCTCTTTGTTGGTATAAAGGAATCAAACTGATTTTTGTATGTTTATCTTGTATCCTGAAACTTTACTGAAATCTCCTATTAGTTCCAGTAGTTTTCTTGTGGATTCTTTGGGATTTTCTCTGTATAAGATCATATCATCTGCAAATAGAGATACTTTGAGTTCTTCCCTACCTATTTGGATGCCCTTTATTTCTTTCTCTAGCCTAACTCCTCTGGCTAGGACCTCCAGCACGTTGATTAAGAGTGGTGATAAAGGGCATCCTTGTCTGGTTCTGATTCTCAAGGGGAATGCTTTCAAATTCTTTCCGTTGAGGATGATATTGGCTGTTGGCTTTGTATAAATGCCCTTAATTATACTGAGGAATTTCCCTTCTATTCCTAATTTGTTGAGAGTTTTTATCATGAGTGGGTATTGGACTTTGCCCAGTGCCTTTTCTGCATCGATTGATAACATCATGTGGTTCTTGTCTTTTGTTTTATTAATGTGATGGATTACAGTGATTGTTTTTCTAATGTTGAACGATCCCTGCATACCTGGTATAAAACCCACTTGATCATGGTGAATTTTTTTTTTTTTTTTTTTTTGATATGTTGCTGAATTCTATTGGCTAGGATTTTGTTGAGGATTTTTGCGTCAATGTTCATGAGGGATATTGCTGTGTAATTTTCTTTTTTTGTGGTGTCTTTACCTGGTTTTGGTATCAGGGTTATGCTGGCTTCATAGAATGAGTTTGGGAGTATCCATCCTTTCTATGCTTTGAAATACTTTTAGTAGTAGTGGTGTTAACTCTTCTCTGAAAGTTTGGTAGAATTCTCCAGTGAAGCCATCTGGGCCAGGGCTTTTTTTTTGTTGGGAGTTTTTAAATTACCTTTTCAATCTCTTCTTTTGTTAGGGATTTAGTTGTTCTACCTCTGTTTGTGTTAGTTTAGGCAAGTAGTGAGTTTCTAGAAATTTGTCCATTTCCTCTAGGTTTTCAAATTTGTTAGAGTACACTTTTTCATGGTTCTTTTAATTTCAGTTTGGTCTGTTGTGATAACACCCATCTCATTTCTTACATGGGTTACCTTCCTCTGCTGTTTTTCTTCTGTCAGTTTGGCCAATGGTTTATCAATTTTATTGATCTGTTCAAAGAACAGCTTTTGGTCTTGTTAACTCTTGCAATTATTTTTCTACTCTCTATTTAATTTAATTCAGCTCTAATTCTCATTATTTCCTTTCTTCTGGTGCCTGAGTGCTTCTTTTGCTGCTCTCTTTCTACTTGTTTGAGTTGTAGGGTTAATGTTTTTATTTTGGCCCTTCTTTTTGGATGTGCGAATTTATTGCTATAAACTAACCTCTGAGCACTGCTTTTGCTGTGTCCCAAAGGTTCTGGTAGGATATGTTTTCCTTCTCATTTGATTCTATGAATTTCTTTATTCCATTCTTCATTTCTTGTATAACCCAGTAGTTTTTGAGCAAGGTGTTGTTCAGTTTCCATGTGTTTGATATTTTTCCCTTGCTTTTTCTGTCATTGATCACTACTTCTATGGCTTTATGGTCAGAAAAGATGCTTTGTAATATTTCGATGCTTTGGATTTTGTTAAAGTTTGCTTTATAGCCAAATACGTGGTCTATTCTGGAAAATGTTCCATGTGCACTGGAAAAGAAAGTATACTTGGCTGCTGTTGGGTGGAGTGTTAGGTATATGTCTATGAGATCAAGTTGGTTGACTGCAGCATTTAGATCTTCTGTGTCTTTGTTGAGCTTCTTTCTGAATGTTCAGTCCTTCAGTGAAAGTGGCGTGTTGAAATCTCCTACTACTATTGTGGAGGTGTCTGTCTCTCTTTTCAATGCTGTTAGAGTTTGTTTTATGTATTTTGGAGCCCTGTCATTGGGTGCATAAATATTTATTATAGTTATGTCTTCCTTTGTGTATTGACGCTTTAATCATTACATAGTGTCCTTCCTTATCCTTTGTGGTGGATTTTACTTTTAAGTATATTTTGTCAGAGATTAATACTGTCACTCCTGCTCTTTTTTTTTGAGTGTTGTTTTCTTCATATATTTTTTTCCATCCTTTGAGTTTTAGTTTTTTTGTGTCTTTAAGTTTAAGGTGTGTCTCTTGTAGGCAGCCTATAGACAGATCAAGTTTTTTCATCCAGTCTACCACTCTGTCTCTTTATTGGTGCATTTAGTCAATTTACATTCAGTGTAATTATTGATAGGTATGAGTCTAGTGCTGTCATTTTGATGTCTTCTTTTATGTGCTGTTGAGTTTCTTTGTTCCACTTAATTTTCTGTGCTGAGTCATTTTTCTTTATGTATTTTCTTTTCATCTTTTTCATTGTTGTTGATTTTGTATTTGCTGAGTCTTTATATATATGTATTTTTTTATTTTGACATGTAGGATTGTTAGTTTCCTTTATGGTTACCTTAATATTTACCTGTATTTTTCTAATTTTATACCAGTCTTTTATTTCTTTATATCACCTTGACTTCCTGTCCATATGAAAAATCTATGTCTACATTTTTTAAGTCCCTCTTTTTTGTTTTAATGTTGTCATCTTTTACATATTGACAACTGTTTCCCTATTTTCAGTGTTTTAGCTTAGATTTACTTTTGTGACTTCCC